CCCCAAAACCCCAAAACCCCTTGGAACTCAAATGTAGCTATTTATTAAAATTCCATTATTAAAATATAAATTTAGATGATATTTTGAGTAATAATAAATTAGTTCCTGACCAATTCATTTGCTACTATTAGGTTTGCCACTGCTGTTAATACTCATTCTATCAGAAATTTAATATCTTTAAGATTAAGCAGGACTTTCTGTTTTATGTTTAAAATGATAGCTATCAGAACTCCTGAACTAGTCTAGACTATCCTCTAGCTATTTCAGTTTCTCAGCCTCTTCATTATTTTACTACATTTTTGAATTAGAATAACTGATGCCAGCTCCACTATATTTATTTTTCTTTTTACTTGCAGAATTACCACTACTTTCATTTACCTATTGTATTCTATGTTACTATCTTCTATTAACACTACTTTTGCTAACTGTACTTCTTATTTATGATTCCTCATATTGTTCCTCATCAATTCTAAACAAGTTAGTCCTTTCATTCCCATTATCGAAAGAATCATTCACATTTTCATCTATATTATAAATCTAAGTAGATGAATTCCTATTCATTGATGAATCAGCTCTAGTGTTAAAATTATCAGCAACACTCCCTGACATACTCTCTGTATGAATGTAATTAATGTTTGTTACATAATCTTATGGCTTAGTTTTATTAGAATTTCTTTATATTTAAACGTAATTTGACTTTTATATGGTCCTTCCTTTCTTGAGCACTGCAACTGAGAGTTTTCTATTTGAGTCAATTAACTTTGATTATTCTAATCCAGACATGTTATAATACTTTGGAGGTCTTTTTCCAAACAAAATCTCAGTTAATTCTTCACAAAATGATTATTTGTATGGGTTAAAAAGTGCTCCTTTAAAGTGGCCTTTTTTATTTTCATATGTACTTTGGCTTTTGCAGATTATCTTAATGTGATATAAGAAAAGGTTTGTAACGAATCCTCCAACAATCAAGCATAAGAAAACAACCACAACTGTAGATGGATATCTTGCAAAGACATCTCTAATACTTTCATTAATTGTTTCAGTTTCTAAATTAGATTTGATAAGCAATCCTATGTGGGCTAAGCTGTAGGCGATACAAGACCATTGAAGAAAAGATAAGCTCATTAGAAATAAGAAAAATTATTTATAGTTTCGACCACCAATGCAAGTTCCAAGCCATCTGCAATGATGATCAAACCTATGAACACAGTTACCGCAAAAATTGCAATGGAATGCTCTCTCTGGTCGGTATATATAACAAGTATGGCAGTATTTCACTCTAGCTATATATCTCCCACCATTACCTATTATTTAAGTGTAATGGCCTTTTGCTCTAGATGATTCCACATTCATCTAAGTCCTAGCACGGAAAGCCTAAATAAAAACTGAGAAAATTGAAGTGAAGTATTCGATTAAAATTTACAAGTCTAGGAAGGATCCCTGGATTAGCTAAAACAGTCAAAATAAAGAATAAATTTGCCAGGAATTGTAATGCAATAATCCCATAATTTGTATGAAACATTATTTCATTCCCATTGTAATGCTATATAATTTTATTTTGGATGTTGATATATTACTGTCAATATAGTTGAATAAATAAGAACAGGAGGTAAATTGTAAAATATGATGGAAAATAATGCCCATTAAGGCTTTGATCCCATTATACACCTTCCTCTACAGCAATGCTTTAATTTCCCTTAATAAATCAGGAAATTAGGCATTCCAGTGTTCTTTTTAGGCTCTTATTTTTTAACTTAAGTAGAATTCTGCTGGTCCTAAAAGAAATGTTTTTTTTGTATAGTTACTTTAGAAATAAGATTTTCCTTCATATTAAATTGGTAGACAGGAATGGCCTACTTTTAATTATAATTATGTATATTTTTATATTTCATTTTTTTGCAATTTAGGATAAATTGTATGATGGGGTTTTGGGGTTTTGGGGTTTTGGGGTTTTGGGG